CTACACGGTTAATGGCATTGATTACATAAAGTGCTGTACTGTGCTCCGCTATGATGTGCTGTGTTGTACTATTTGACGTATATACATATACATATATATATCATGCACCGCGTGTATCAGCATATCATTAAAGCCATCCAAAATGTATCATGTTTCATGTACTTTAGTCAAGCGCTGTGAAACCGACCGAGACACAACAAAGCAGTAACACAACCGACAAGCAATAGCAAAAATATTTTATTTGAAATTTTCCCTCCCCGAACGAAATGTGCTTCAATTCAATAGCTTTGTAATGGCTTGAAAGTTTTTGTTTCGATGGAAACGAAAGCGAATTATATTTTAATTTCCGATCACAAACCAAACTTCATCCTGTATTTAGCCATTTGCCATATGCCGGCTTCTCCCTTGAATGACCACAAGTTGAAAGATCATGCATGCATTGTTGTGTGCGTGTAACAGTCTTTGCAGTGTTTACCTATTTTTGAAGCAGTGATTCATGCTCGATCACAATGTATGAATGTCATCGTCACCATCTAGTTAATGCTAGAAAATTCAAATGTGGTTGACGTTGACGCAGAGAAAAAAGAAGAAAAGAAAAATTACGCGCAAAACAGTTTGTAGATCCAGGCTCGTGTTTTTCAAAAAAACATTGTGTTTTTTTATTGTTGCTTCACACGAACAGTGTGAGAAAACCGTTTCAAAACAGAAACAAAACGCCGGAACTAAAAATAAATTTGCGTCAAAGTAACAAAAGATGAAACCGTTTCTGCTTAACAGAGACAGCACACGGCCATAAATTAGGGAGAATTGCCAGTCGCTCGAATTTGCTGCGCCAAAATCGAATTGCAAGAAAAGCATGGCACTTTAGCAAACCGCTTGACATGCTGATCTGCGCGATCATTTTTTTCTCTATACTTTAATGTGCGTCATCACGTTGAGCAACTTGAAAAGGGATGCACAGTCTGTCCTGTATAATTGTTTGCAATCACACTAGCTGTGATCGTTTTATTTACGCTTCGGACACATGCTTAAGAGTGTTTTCGTCATCCGTCTTATAAGTGAACAATGTGGTATTTGTAATTCAAGCGAAAAAGAAAATTCAAGTAAGAAAAATTCAAGCAAAAAATAACACTACTTATTGAACTTAAAGTGAGAGGTTGGTTGTATATTTCTCTCTCAAAGCCATTTTTGTGGGAACGAAATATTTTACTGCTGTGAGATGATGCTTTGTCGAAAGCAATTTTCAGAGGAAATGATAAAAAAGTGTAGTTTTGACCAACTAAAATGCAATAAAACTTCCCAACAAATCGGCCCATCTACATTTAATGGCGCTGAAGAGAAAAAAACAGCTATCGTTATTTGTATTGCAATTGTTCATTTGAATTTTACTCGCTGCTCTACTGAAAAGTCCCACATAGCACAGATAATAACCTTTTACAGCCGGGATATAAAGAGACGATTTCTCTAGTGTAGCAATTGCATTGTTATTGCTAGTGTTGTTGCCATCTTGTGTACTGCTTCTAGCTTCCTTTTCATTATGATTTGAATAAAGAAGCATAAAAAATAGCGAAAATATTTTAATCAAATCGACAAAGAGATGGAAGAGTGACGGAAGTTGAAATGGTAATTAAAACCATTTTAAAAAATGGTGCTTTTTCACCTATTATGATCCGTTGAAGTGTTGGGAGTGTAGATAGAAGTAATTTTGCAGCACAATATTGGATTGAATGCAATATAAGCCAAATGATAGTGAAGCCCCATTGCCATGCACATGAAATGTTCTATTTCTTTCATGCTCATGTACATTGTACACACCAGCAAACGTGTAAAATAACCAAATATCTGGGTAGACACTTTAAGCATCTCCATATTCATTTTCAGCGACGACAAGTTTCTTTCTCAAGCCACCAACACGGCATTCATTAAGTAGCATCAATATAATCCATGGAAACTGGATTGCAATAAATCGGTGTTTCCAAGTAGATTTCCCTCGTCTTCACTGCGCCTTCTCTTCATTTTCGGTATTTTTCTTCTTTCCGCTCGCTGTGCCGCCAGCAGCAAAACACAATGCAATGATTCAACCATTTCATATGAACAAACACATCTGACTCATAGCTGGAAAATGAAAAAGTCGACGAAAACCGAAATGGGAATTCTTGAAAATGCATTGTAAAATGGCGTCATCAAAATGATGATTCAACGACAATTCCAAGTACTAAAATTTCGGTATATAGTTGAAGAAAAAAAGTGTTAAATATTCTAAATTCATTCAAATTTATTTAAACTACGATATCGGACCACATTCATTGGATCTTCGAAGCGCAGATAGCGGTAGAAAGACTTGTGAACAAGTTTATGGACACATTTAATTCTCGCTCCATACCTACATCTAAAGCCACCTATATATATATATATATATATATATATATATTACGACAGCACGCACACATTCACGCATACACATTGAGTATGTTTGTGTGTATAGAATATACAGTGTTATGTGGGTCTGTTTGATGCTCTGAAATGAACAAAAAAATGTTTTTTTTTGTGTAACCGCGTGTTAAAATTCTGAATCGCCCAAAATTTGTGACGTCAGTCCCTTTCAAATCTACGGTTGTTTTTTCTCGATGATTAACATTGTGTTGTTAATGAGAACAAATATTGAAAAAGTGATCTCAGATTTCGCTGACGTGTAAATTGTAGATGCAATTTTTAAGAATTTTGTGACCTTTGCATACCATGTGTATTAAGTACATAGTATGACTTTGAATACCTCTTGAATTCCTCTACAGTGTACAGGCAACGATTGCCTCCAAGATATCCGTCAAATGTAATAACATGCTACCACGGTCACTTGCTGAGTTAGTTCAGCACCGCTGTTCAATCCATATTATTCATATTCATTAACTATTCGCTTATTTATTTATGTTTCTTCCGTTCACACCGTTATTAAAACCACTCATTTATAGTCGCAAAAGGTGTTCAATCCTTTCTTCATTTCATTTTTCATATAAATGACGACCACTCTAACTCCTTTCTGAATGTTCCGTTCCGATCGCCGTCGAAAACTGAGAAATTCGTAAAATTATTCAGCCACCCCAAGACGATGAACTAAAAGCATCTGTCAAGCGGTTGGGCGTCGTCTGAGTGCTGTTTTGTTCTTATTCTACAAAGTCATTAGCCCCGTGAGTCATCTGAATTTCCAAGACTCACATCCGATCAATAATTTGCTTTGGTCGATTGTGTTTTTCTCTCTCACGCAACGCATGTCTGGAGTACTCACTCTTATGAGTAATCGTTTTCATGGGAATTTTTTTTTTTTTTTTGGAGAGAAAGAAAATACATGGCTCGCTAATTTTCGTTCAATCACATATCGTAAGATGTGCCACTTCATTCACTTTGCATGCGGTAATGTACGGGCTGTGAATTGGTCGTAACAAATGCGAAAAAAATTGTGAGATTGGCACATTTCAATGATAATAGCAATTGGCAATAGCCAAAATAGATGCAATACATACAAACAAACATCACATTATGCAAATGTCAGCCCGATTCAAACGAACCCACGTCGCATATTCATATCGATAATCGCGTATTCATCTGGTTGAAATAAACAGCAACTTTGGCTTTGACTTGTTCATACTTTTCATGAAAAAAAAAGAAGAAGAAAAAAATCATGAGCAATGCTTCATATTCAGACGTCTAGTGCTGGGCTAGAGCTTCTAGCTTTATCGAATGTGTAATAGAATGTGGATCAAGTTTAGCCTACTACAAATCAGCTGTTCATTCGGGCTTGCACGAGCTGTACGAATATTTTTCGATTATGCGCACAAGTAATAATAATGACAGCTAAGGTAAATATATTTTTATCCAATCCTTTGACATTTTTTTGCATGCACCGCACACAGTGCAAGGTACACCACACACCACTCTACACGCGGTATTAATGAGTTATTTTAAAATTCGAATGAAAAAGCGCGGCATTTGAATTTCCCCGTCTTGTTTGCTTTGTTTCACATTTTCTTTGCGGCTTGATACGTATCGAGCTCATCGAATCAGGTTCAGATGCCAAGTCTAAGTTTATACTTGATGATCAACGATCATGCATTCAACATTCCGGTTGACGGTACACATATACGCAATATTTCTGCTGAATGTTTTCATCAAATCCACTCTAGGCATTTCACATAGGGCAACACCAACGTTTCAATGACTTGTTATTCGTCGCACACAGAGAAACGCACATGGCTACGGTTCAGATTCACAGACAAAATTCGACTCGGTGTGGTTTGTTGTTGTTGTAGTTGCTGCTGCTTGCGGTTGGAAATGAGATATCGATATACTGAGAGTGAATGTGAGGTGCATATGGTTCAACACTCATTTCGAGCAAAGAGCTTGCGTTACAAATATATTTTTGTTTGTGTGACCTGATTCTATATCATCCACTTCGTAGTCGTCGTTATTTTTTCTCTATTCCCAATTCATACATATTCACATCTATATGTGATGTGGTACTCAAACACATATGGTTGATTCTTTCTCTTGCTTGCTTTGTATCTTCTGTTCAAAATCATGATTTTTTATTGAGTAAATTAGTAAATTGTTTTTCCCCAGTTGAACTCTCTTTCTCTCTTTTGTCGATGGGATCTTGTTCAATCTTTATTCAACTGATTGAAATTGTCCCATTGAGTATTGTACGAGGAACTCAAGAATGAGACGCAATCACAGTTGCAATGACGGCGACATAAAATAAATAAATCAGCCAACGCTGATAATAGCGAATGCCATTCATTTGTTTTCTACAAGATAACAAAAACAAAACCGTGACGAACACAAAAACTCGCTGCAGTCGCAGTAATCGTTTGATTTTTAAAATCGCGTCTATTGAAATGTTCAGTTAGAAAATTACAAGTAAAGCGATCAAAAATAGAGTTGCATTGAAGGGAAATTGAAAGGGAAAAGTCATTAATTTCACATATATCTCTTACTCTCTTTTGCAGGCTAACTTTGGCATAATTCAGTAAAATACGCGAGGTGAATTTGACACGGCCTTTGCTTACTCGCAACAGTTTCCTTGGTGACTGCCCCGCTGGTTTGGAAGAATCCCAGCTGAATATAAATAAACGGTTCAAGTGAACAGGAAAAAAAATCGCATATTGACTTTTGAAAGTGCATACGAAATTTGAAGAAACAAAAAGAAAACAACTGCTATCCGAGTTAAAAAGTCAACTCTATTCTAAAGACAATTTGAATAAACTAAACGAAATCTGGCTTTGCGTAGTGAATCCGAAGTGAAACGGCGTAAAACCAAAAAGAACAAATATCAAGACGAAATTCAAAAACTGTGATTCAACTTAGATACCTAATTATCAATCATACACAAAACTGTTTTATAGACGGATACGTGTGTGTGCGGACCTTTAAAAAAAAAAAAGAAATAAGAAGAAAAGACTCGCAGTTCTGTTTAACGAAAACTCATAGTTAAACCCAACAAGCAAACAAAAACTTGTCAATTTTATTTATCGCGATATAGATATAGTTGAGTCAAACTTGTTTTGAGCTTAGCTATTGTGTGCATCCATTGAACTGATTAAGAAAATTTATCAACGTAAACCGAAAACACAATCCAAAACCTAGACAAAATGGAGCGCGAATCAAATCCAATGCAACCAATGTGCCGTTCTGGATGCGGTTTCTATGGTAATCCAGCTCAAGACGGTCTATGTTCTGTATGCTACAAAGTAAGTATTAGCTGTCATTCATTTAGTCAATCTTTAATTCAATGAAATTCAATGACGTTATCGTGATGGGCGTAGTCGAACGTATGTTTTTTGTTTGGTTTGGTTTGATTCTGAATTGAGATCGACGGCCCACGAATCGAAATTTATTATTTCTTCATTATTTTATTATTATTATTTTTTCAACCGTATATATTCACGCTGTAAACTTGATTTAATTGTAATTTGCCCCGTTTGATAAAAGGACTCACTTAGAAAGAAACAGCAACCTCCCGTTAGTAGTACACCTGTAGCAGTTTCAAGTTCGCAACAGCAAACACAAAACTTCAGTTCACCTGCATCGGTCACTCACACAGCACAGCCAACAGTACAGACTTTGCAGCAACCCCACATTGAAACCAACAAAGAAGTAAGTTCTTTCAAATGATCGTCGTCGATTTTGTGCATATTTGCTAACCCGTTTCTTTCTCTCTCTCTGTCTCTTACAACAGAAACTACCTGAAGCCAGCGCAAGCGCAACTAGTGAAATAGCCGGAACTTCCATTAGTGATGATCAAGACGACAAAGATGGTGACAAGGATTCAAAGAAAAAGAAAAACCGTTGTGGCATTTGCCGCAAGAAGGTTGGATTAACAGGTAAGTTCATGGCCCATTTCAATGTCCATCGATCGAATCCACTTCACAAAAACACAAAAAGAATTCGAATAACAACAACAACTAATTGACAAACGATTTTCCAATACTATAGGTTTTCAATGTCGATGCGGTGGTCTCTATTGCTCCGTACATAGATACAGCGATGAACACAAATGTTCGTACGACTATCGAGAACATGGTGCCCAAGAAATTAGACGCAATAATCCCGTGGTTGTCGGAGAAAAAATTCAAAAGATTTGAACTCTTGTGCCATCTAATTAATAATTTTTATAACATATATTATTAATAATAAATCTAAAACACACAAAAAAAAATTCGAAAAAAAAACAAAACAAAACAGAACATTTAACTATGCAGAAGAGGTAAAGAGAAATGTAAAAAAAAATTGAAAAAATTATTTGCAACAAAAATGTTATTTTAAATACAGTTGAAGAAAACAAATTAAAGAAAAGAAAAGCAAGCAAAAATTTTCAACAAAAACACTAAAAAAAAACCAATCAACACTTGAACACTCTGTACACAAAAAGAACTATCGAAATGAAACAACAAACAAAAAAGGTTTAAGCTAAATGCGAGAAATGCAGAAGAGGGATTTTTTAAGCAAAAAAAGAAGTTCACACACAAACAAACACCTATGCAGTCGCGATTAGAGAAGAGTAACAATTTCAACAAGGATTGCAAAAATCTGAATATAAAAAAACACTAAAAGTAAATTAGAATAGAGATTGAAGATGATTATGATTGATATAAATGTATGCATATATAAAACAAAAGATAAGACGGGAGAACAAAGAAGAAGAAAATACAAGAAATGAAACAAATAATTATAATTTATCAACATCTCAAAAAATGTGTTACGAATGTTCAATGAAGGCTTACGTTTGGCTTAAAGAAATACCGTACTTTCGTTGTTCACTAAATACACACAATCCTTCAGTAAACAGCACACAAAACCTCACCGAATTTCCACTTCCACAGCCCAATCATATTTGTCCATGATTGAAAGTAGGTGATCAATGTGCTTATCGTTCGACAAAATTACGGAATTTCTTCAATTTATGTATTCGACCACTTTACCGTACGTAGTTTTAATTATATTATACATGAGAATAATATTAATAATAACTATTATGTATTAATGGAGAAAACACAATACACGGAAAACGACATCCGGAGCTAAGAAAAACAACCAAACAAACAATTTGAAATTATGAAGAGAATCGCTAACACGAAATCACACATTTAAGAGAATAATTATGAAAGAAAAGCAGCAGAAAAACGGAAAGAAACATCTTCTTATTGTAGGAAATAAAAATTGGTTTAGATACATACACACACACACACACACACACACAACAACCAAAAATCCACTAAAGAAATTTGTCGAATAGAATTTCAATTCAGGAGAATAGAAAAGCATTGAACATTATACAATTCACCGACATATTTAATTTCAGACACAAAAACACAACATACCTGAATCATAAACTGACACCGTAAAAAAGAAAACAATACAGTAACACTTACTTTCTCTTTCTTTCTTTCTTTCTTTCTTTCTTTCTCTCTCTCTCTCCCACTCTCTCTCTCTCTCTCTCTCTCTCTCTCTATCGCTCACAACTGCATTGCGTGCACTTGAACACGGTTTTGCAGTGTCATTGTCGTTGAACCGATGGTTGAATCTAAATTCTCAAAAACTCTTTCTCTGTATTGATGCTGTTCGTTCGAATGAAGTCCGTGTCTTTTGAAAATAAAATAAAAACAAGAAGGTCGTTACCAAGTTTATCTCTCCTCGTTCCAGTTGAAGAATAGTTCGTTTTTCGAAGAAAAAAAAAATTCCTGCAAATCGCAATTAATCAGGTATATGTACATAGAATCCTAGTCTGACACGCAATTTCTTTCATTGTGCGTACGCGCGCACACGTCCGCGCACTAAAAATCGCGTTTGCTTTGTATGGGTATCAAAAAAAAAAATATTGCATTGGAAATTCTAAATTTAAATGGACTAAGCACTAAACACAGACACCGACAAATAATCAAGTAACATCACGATTAACGAAATTTCATCTGAGGCAAAGAAAGAAACGCACAGAAATCACTAACGTTTCCATACCAAAGTGGCTGAAGAATAAAACTAACAAATAAAATAGATAGTTCGAATGAACTATTCATTGTTAACACAAAAAGAAAACAAAAACGATTTACGAATTAAAGAGATATTTTTTTTTGTCCGAACAAAAGATTTTATTTGCCGCAAAAATTACAAAAATTCAGATTTAAATTGAAAAATTACTACGGAGTACAGAAAGACATCAAATACCTACATTATAAATATTATGATAAACGACTAGATTTATATGATAAGGAGGAATCAATGCCATAATTATCGTTGTTACATGCGAGACGCAATAGCCGGCAAATGTGAATATTCCTGGTATCTACTGTCACTACCGGTTCGAGCCAAACCAAACCACATCCGTCGCTATTTTGTCCCGCATCGCAGCAACGTTAAGGAGGAAACATATAAGAGAGAGTAATTCCTATATTAGTTTTAAAATGTAAGAAACTTTGCGGATTTAACCATTCAATTTCAATTTAATCATTTCTATTATGTTCTTTTTGTTGTGCATCTCTTCGAATATTTGCGTTCAATTTTTCTCCATGTATTTTTTTTTTTACTAAAATTAGGGGTTTCACATTTTTTGTGCTTTTTTCCTATTTTAATTGAATTTGCGTTCGAATCAAGTGTTTTAGGTTCAAAATATATTTTTGACACAGAACAGTAACAATAACTGAAACAACAACACATCCAAACAAAGAAAGAACTAATTGGTCTTTATTAGAGAGTATTTTCGATTGCTTTTCAAATTCACTAAAATTTAGTTTTGATAGACGCACATTGACGCGTGAACACAATACACGTTCTAAGATTTAATATGTAAACAATAACAACAACAACAACAACAACCAGAACAACAACTACAACAACAAACTTTGCAATATTTAATTTAAAAAAAAAAAACGTTGTATTTTCTTTTCCTTTTTTCTGTTTTTGTATTGTGACAAGAATTCGATAGCTAAAATGAGAAGAAAATGGAATCAATTTCATTGTAATTGTCTTTTGCAATTAATATCCAAAACACGTATGTATCTTTGTTACTAGTTATAAAAATCATCACACACGGGGCAGTGAGGCAACAAATTAAACGAAGAATATTAATAAAAAAAAAATCAAAATAAACCAACCAATATGTAGTTTTTTCCCCCAAAGAGAAGCAAGAAAAAAAAACATGTTCTACTTCAATTTCCTTTATCTTCTGTTTTCAAGACATAGACCGATTCGTTAATTTCACTATTATTTATCTTCGGAGTTAGTTTTTACAACTATTCACTTTTTCCTTCTTTATTTTCATTTTCATAAACACACGTACGACACACACACACACACACACACACTTACGAGTTAAAACGAATGAATTAATCAGATTATGATTACGAGTTTAATTATGAAAAATAAATGAATCATTATCATTTTATTTGTTTCTCGTTTAGTACCTACATAGGCCGTACTACAAGATTAAATTTAAAAATATATGTGTAACATAGGGGTTTCGCGTTAATGATGATTATTCAGAGAGATTTCTTTCTTTCTTATATAAATTTTTTTCTTGGTTGTTTGAATTGAATTAATTAGTGAGCAAATCAATAAAATTGAAGACAAAAAAAATGAAAATGCTAAAAAAATATTGATATAAATGCATACAATTTATTGAATAAAAACACATAAATGCAAACAATTTTGTTTTTTTGTTGTTGTTGCAAATTTCCGGTTTGCAAATGTTGCGATCATCAAATTTGACGATTATTCTTTGACATTCGCACTAAAAGCCATGCATGGGAGAGAATGAAATTAGCAGAAAATTCATTTTTTCATTCAAGTTATATTTTTTCTATATTGAATTCCTTCACTCACGTGAAAATACACTAAAACAACTGGACACCTGAGTCTTAATATTTTTTTTTTTTCAATTTGAAAAAAAGGAATATTAGTTGACATTTCCATCTTTCATGCCTGGACTTGAAATTTATGATTTATTTTACAGATATTACAGAGTAATTTTGTATAAAATTATTTATTTGCAGAATCGAGATGAAAATACGCTTTCTAGCTTACATCGAAGTCTTCAGTAGAATATTTTAACATAAATGGATTTTTTGAAAATAAATGAATTTTTTTTTTTTTTAAATTGATTCATATTTTTTCTGTCTTGACCAAAGATATTTTTGTTCTACTTCCAAATAGAATTTTACTAGAAATGTGATGCTTAAGATTGCGGCGAAAAGCACTTGAAATCATAAATCATAGGTTTCACTATTCGAACCAAGATGGCGCTGGTTTTGGCTATGAATTTCTTAGTGCAATTTAATTTCACACAGAATATTTTTCAAATAGATAAATAATTCTTTTTACGCATTCAATATATGGCTTTAATATTTACAATTTTTTTTTTTTAATTTTAAATTCAATTTGATAATTTTTTCGATATTCGATATCTTCTGTTGGTTATTCTCTAAGTAAGGCTGCCGAGGAAACGTGTCATGTGGAAGAAAAAATACAATGGAAGAATATAAGTTGCCAAACAAGTTTGGGTTGTTTAATGTCAAGATGTTGATTTAAAAACGTATGTCAATGTTGATTGACAAAATTGACAAATAATGATGTTTGTAATGAATAGCAAATACAAAAAAAAAACGGGGAAAATGAAATACAACATTAAATTCAAACCACAACAAATAATTTCATTGACATTCAGAAGCGGAACCACTACAATGACACCTTGGTGAAATTGATGTAAAGTGGATCATTGTATGCTATTCACATGAAGAATTGAACTTTTTGCCCGCTTTATCCTTTTCAATCCGAATTTCTCATACCACTTGAGCGGAGCAGAGGTTGTCGATCATTAACGTAACATATTCTAAACAATGTTGCATAAATTCATTATGCGTTGCTTAAACGTTCGAAGCATAAAGAATAGATGAAATTTGTCACAAATTAATAGAAAGCAACACAATGTATTTTAAGTAATAATGAATAAAAGTTATTTGTGGCTGAACATAAATGCTTTTACTTTTGGGCAAAATTTGAAGAAATTAAAATCGGCCAAATATTGTTTGCATGTTGAAAAACAAACAAAAACAGAAATCACTGAACTGAGTGGCGAAATATTTCACAACGAAGAAGAGACAATTGACATGAGTATTGTCCATTGGCATATCGATCACGTGACTGTTTCTTTTTCCTTCTTTCTTTTCTTCTTTTTTTTTTTGGTGAAATGAAAGCTAAACGATTCAATGGAAACAGATGCAAATTAAAGCAAAAACAATGCTGGATACTCTTTTTTCGGATGCAGTCGGGGATAAATGGTTGATATGCAAATCTCCGTTTGGTACGCAAATCGACATGTGTGACTTGCAATACTATGAATGTTATTGCGGTCCTTTTTTCTGTGGCCGTTCAACACGTTGAACTACATTTCATTTGACTATCAATTTGGCTTTCGAGATGTATTCTCAAAATGGGCATTTACATACAATGGCAACTCTTTTTTTTCTTGTTCTTTCTTTTTGAGGAATACAAATACGTACAGTATTTGATGTAAGACCAACAATTACCCATGCTCAGCGTAGATGCACCAGCATTGTATATTGATTTCTTTTCCTGGAAAAATCAGTTTGAATAGGCTCGCTGAAGTTTTCCTTCCAAAGTAAAAGCAAATCTACGGCATTGATGCACACATTGTCGACCCATCCGTTTGCTCGTAAATCCCAGCCCATTGGACATACTTTGCATACGCATTGCGGTCACAGATAGCAAAGAACAGATACAATATTTTTTTTGATTACATTACCATTGATCGGATCAACTGGCTGTAAAAGCAAGGCCATTAGCTTGATTTACCTGATTTCGATAAATAGATCGCACAATCAGTTTGCCGACATATTGTGCCATAAGCAGATGATATTGTCTTCTGTGTTTGCATCGCGCGCGCATATTTGCGTCCTTTCGGGCATACACTTCATCGCTCTGTGCATCGACGACATGTAAGTGAACATGTAAGTCGGCTTTTACGAAGCGTTTCGGTTCAACAAATGAAGAGTAGATGATCATCTGTATGTTAGCTTTTGTCAACTGTTCGCTACAATGCCTCTTCTTCTTTTTTTTTTTCGCGGGCATGATCTCTGATTAAATTGAACGCAAAACTCTAAGGAACAGGACAACCGAAACGGAATCCCTTCACTGAACTATCGACCGACCATTTTTCTCACGATTATATGCGCACTGAAAGTAATGAATTGCTTCTTTGTTGATATTCACTTTGATTTCCCGACTCACAGTGACATCGGGTGACAACCATAGATAAACGTATTTTTTTGAATTTGCCGCCGAGATTTAGACGATGCATCTACCGTCTACACACTTATGCCGAGATGCATCAAACGAGGAAGAGGAATGCCTAACGAATGGAACTATGTGAAAGGCCGAATGGAAATTTATTTTAGTCGAACATATATCGAAGCAACAAACAGAGTCCAACTAATAGTGGCGCTAATTATGATAATTTTTCGCCAAGTTTCAATCCACACCGCCTTCTGAGTTTTCATTCTGAGTTCACTGTCGGTAATCAAGTAGATTTTCAATTATGAAATTGATTCTGCTGCATTCGAAATGAGAGAAAACAACGACAAAGGCGAAACAAATTTCTGAAACGTATCTATACTTTTGGCTGTATTTATCAAACACATCGCTGTGCCATACTGCCCTTTCAAGTACTACATGAAATGTGGGGCTATTGTTCCGACGTTTTCTTCGTATTCTCCATATATTGATTATTTGAAATAAAATCAAGTCATTAAAGATTTAAACAGTAACGAACTGAAAATGCATCAAATCCTTGCTGAAGAAAATTGAAATTTTATTCGCCTCTTCTTTCGAATTAGTGCGAATTGCATTGTTTGCTGTGCAGCATCGAACTAATAACAGAATATTTGAAATACACAAGAATGCAGCACGGTCTTGTTTCGCATATCCTACAGCTTCACAATGTTAATGTCTACTTTGCCCACTGCTTGTGGCTGTGTGTATCAGTATTGTCTTGCGTGGAGAACATAGCGCACAGCAAAATCGTGATGTATGCCTGCTCGTTTTACTAATTAGCCTACAGCAGTTAGATCTTGAATTTAATTCAGGTAGAAAAAAAATAGACCGATAAAACGAAAACCAATTTTTCCCTTGCCCAGATTCAACGTTAATAAGCGTTGATTAATTTTTTTTTCACTGTGCCGTTTGAATATCAGTTCTTTTCAAATGCTATTTTGTTCAAGTGATTCACATTAATTGAATCAGACAAGCGTAGCCATGTATTGTTTCAATATTTGTTTCTTTGACTTTTCCTGCCATTTTTGCATTTTTCTGCGTGAATAGCACGTAAATTAGACTTGAGCGAGACCTGTGTGGGCGATGCTCATGTCAACTAATTAAATAACGACCGAAAACAAATTGTAAAGAGCAACGATTTTTTCATAGTTCATTCTATCATGTCCTACCTTTTGAAATACAATCAGTGCATACAAACAGATTTTATTTATGTAATTAGAAATAGTCTCTTATTATTCTTTATTTTATTTTTCAATCATTTTGTCCTTTTATTTAGACTCTTAATAGTCACGATTTTCAAAATCAATCCATACAAATCTTATCGTTACGTTCGCAATATAAAAGAATTTGATTTTCAATTTAATATTTTGCTACGCGAAGATTTTGGATATACCACTTTTGCGAGAAACTTTGAATAAAGTACAGCGATTATTCACAGCATTTTGGTTGTATTATTACAATTTATACCATTTTCTGTGAATTACTAGAATAGACAAAATATTGCTTTGTTCTGACATGGGGAAAATGACTGAACGAACGTATCGAATGAAAATGATGCATGTAATAATTCGCATCTACATTTAATTTCTAAATTTAGTCAATTTTTAATTGACTTTGAATCAGAACTAATGATTTTAAAGTGTATTTGTGCGACAACTTCTGCACGAAACGAATGTGCCAAAATGAAAACATAAATTATTTGATATAAAGCATCGTCCAATTGGTCGCTTTCCCCCCTCTTTCTCAAGATCTTGAGGCGTATTACTAATCAACGTTTCTGAAAAATTCAAATACAAACCACATCGT